TTTATTCATAACACACGTGAAAAGACCCAGGAAAACAGAGTTAACGATAAAAACGACAACAAAATAATACTGAAAACCCATAGAAACCCTGAAAACTATATATTTTACACCTGAGCCTCAACTCTCGCGGCCCGGTACCAAACGACTCACGGACCGGTACCGGTCCGAGGCCCGGGGGTTGGGGAAAATACCCTTTTTACCCTTTTCTAATTTTTGTAAAACAGAAATATCTTCTTTACTTGTGATACTGCACAAATAGCTAAATGCTACATTTTTCAGTGTTAAAACTGGCTGTAAATGCCATTCTATGTTTAGACTTATTCTTACAGCCACTTGTATACAGTTTGCAGTGAAATTGCAGTGCCCTGTGTCATGATACGGTGGTTCAGTAAGTGTCCACAAATAACACAAAATTACCCTGGATGATAGCCAGCAGGATGACAATAACGAAGAAGAAGAATGTGATGTCAAAGACAACGCGGTAAAGCTCGTATTCATCACCAGCTGGGTCCTCAATTTCATCTCCTATGCCACCGCCAGCTCGCACACCAACGTACATGTGGAACAGGTAACACTGCAGGAGGGGGTAAAGTCAGAGGTCAGTTTAGATAGCATCACAACTCATAGTAAAGCCGACCTCCAAAAAAATCATGCTGGGTGTGTCCTGAAGTGGGTTTATTTTTGCTTTGTTGTTTTTTGTGGGGGGGTTGCCGTTCACTCACAGTCATCATGTCATCACACTTCATGTCCGGCTCATCCTCGTCTTCACTCATGTTGTAGAACTTGCGGAAGAAGTTAAAGGCCACCACAGTGTACAGGTACACCACCACGGCCAGCAAACCCACTGTCATCACCAGCTGCAGCGAAAGGAAGGAAAACAAAGGATCTAATGTAAAAAAAAACAAAAAAACAAAACAGGTCAACTGAAAGCCTGATTACATATCTTTAGCAAAAGTGTAACCTGTTTGCCGTTGTGGGTGACGGAGGACAAAATCGTGCGCAGGGTTTTCACGCCCATTGCAATGTCAACAAGATGAGCAGCAAAGAAGAAGTTGTTGTAGTGCCCCAGCAGAGACATCAACATGTACCAAACCAGGTAGAGGAAGGTCTAAAAGATATTTAAAAAATGCATCAGGAAGACCGCATTCAAAGCAGATTCGCTTAATGTTTTAATTACATAAAAACTTTCTTTTACTCACATTATCAGTGAAGACCACACCATTCTTCCAGATCTGGTATTTGATATCAATAGATGTTATCCTGCACAACAACAGACACATTTGACATTATGCCTTTTTTAAATATAACTCTGTAAATGATACTGATTCATGTAATGCGTGAGCTTACCAGCTGAACATTGAGGTGTCAGGTTCAGGCTTTTTTCCATGGTTCATGGCGCTGACATCAAGAGAAGCCAAGTCCATACCAAGCAGCTCCGCAATTCTCTCTCTGCCATAAATGTCCCCATATTTATCCAGAACCTGGATGTCACATACAGATGTTGAGTTGACCGTCGTACTTCAATATATAACTGCAAAAATGTGGCTGACAAAAAACTCTTACCTTTCTTTTCACAAACTTGTCCCAGTAATTGTTGGGGAAGGTTCTGCACAATGATACAAACATTAGCTACAGTGTGCTCAGTTTATCTTATTTATTTGAAGCTCTGGAGCCTCACACATTTCCTTTCCAGTTTTGCACAGATAAATTTCTTCCTGACCTAAAAACCTGTTTGTTCTCTTTTTCTTTCCTTATTTTCTCATTGCCCAACCGTCTTTCACTCTTTATCAGCTCATCATCTCTCCTTGCTCTCTGTCTTCTATCAGTGATACTGTGATTTTACTGCACAACCATCTCTAGTGTTTAAACAGGATGCTTTGAAAAAGAGAAAATACCCAGTGAGTGACAGTTCTCTGGGCAAGAGTGCCTTGTTGTACCAACCTGGTACTAGCAGGTTCTACGTAATAAAGTATCACGAATGTATCTGATACTGAAACATGGGTCTTACGGAGTGTTGAGCACCAGTCTGTCCCACTGGCCCTTGATGTCATCGTCCTCAGGCTGCTCAGTGACATAGAGGCCATCGAACTCCAGCTTTCTGGCCAGTTCTTTCTCTCTTTTGAAGATAACCAGAGGGACCTTACAAAGGTGGAGATGGAGCAGAAGATATACCGCATGAAACCTATGAAAACACACCCCTAAAACTTTTTTGGACTAAAGAAAAGCAAATCTCTCACACACCTTCAGGCAGTTGTAGCCAATGATACAGAGGAAGGAGATGATGGTGTGAACAATACCAAAGAAAGCCATTGCTGGTTCCATGTAGCCAGTGCTCTCTTCCAAAAAGTAGTACAAAGGGCCTTCTTCATCATCATCTTCCCCTCCGTCATCTAATCCTGATCCGTCTTCTTCAGCACCGGAGCCTTCAAAAATCCCAGAACCCTCAAAGAGACCAGAACCCTCAAACTCCTCCTCACCTGGAGGCGTTTCAGACACCTAGATAGTCATAAAAAACAGCAGTCCTCAGGGTCTCGCTAAAGCTTCTAAGAATAATTTTACTAAAAATCTGAAAAAAATATTTAAGATCACAAATATTAGTTAGGTGCTGATGTATAAATGTGAATATGCTTATTTTTATGCACGTAAGACTCCAGAACTAACAGATTCTAATTACTGAATTTGTAATGCACAGTGCCACGTCCCAGGTGTCATGACATCAAATTATTTAGTCAAAACAGACCTTGTAGAAGAGCAGGATGAAATTGAGAGCGAAGGCAATGAACAGGGCCAAGAAACGTAAATTGTAGAAGTTGCGAGAAAGGTAGTTCTGGAAAGAAATAAAGAAATTAGCAATAATGCTGTGATAAATGCACATGCTGATAAGGTGAGTTACTAATCACAAAAGTATACTAGGAGTCATTTTAAAAATGTTCTATGTATGAAACTAATCTCTAGTACACTAGCTGAACATATCAGACTCATTTTCTAGTACTCATCATGGCAGTTAAAATACATTCAACACGGTGCTGAAAGAAAAAGCTGCTCACCATAAATTTAATCCTCTGAACCTCCAGCTCATTCCACAGTTTAAAGCCCTCCTTATCAGATTTCTTGTCCTTCTTCACTTTGGTCTTCACACTTATCTCTTCTTGTTCCTCGGGCTCTTCCTCCTTTACCTCGGGTTCAGGCTCTGCCTTCTCTGCTTTCTCTGCTTTCTCTGTTTTCTCACCATTCTCGGTGCTTGGAAAGACACAAAGAAATTTAAGCTTTGGGAAAACAAAAATAGCTTTAGACTTTTGGCACTGTTTAAAATGTGATTAAAAACTCAATACCTACAATGGTGTATGCTATGTATGTGAACAACTAACAAAACCGTGCAGAGTTACAACTGTTTTTTAATCAATAACATCTGGAAATTGTTTATAATTGCACACATGATAGTGAATTCAGTGAATTCAAAATATATTATGTTTAATCTCAAGGACACATTTTAAGTAGATCCTGCTTATTCTTGACATCAGACTACAACAGGCAAACGTCTTACTCTGCTTTCTCGGTCTCCTGAGGAGCCTCTTCTTCGTGTTCAACCTTTTCTTCATCTCCTTGTCCTCCTACTGCAGCAGCCAGCTGTTTAAATTAGTTTACACTTAATTAACCAGTTACTAAAGAGTATACATATTAATAAACAACTATGAGAGAGAACAACCCACCAGTTTCCTCTTCAACAGTGGAGTGCCCTCTGGAGTCGGAGGTTCTTCTGGTGTTGTCTCTCCCATGTCTCCAAGTCCCCCAGGAGTATTAAAGCCAGGCAACCGTCCACCTTCTCTGTCCTCACCATCCTCTTCTTCCTCCTCTCCACCCACGGCATCTATGAGGTCTGCCACTCCATCTGCATCTTGGACTTCCCTAGCACCCGGTTCAGGCGGTAGATCCCCATGAACTTCATCTTGGGTGGGATCGGGCATACTGGCCAGGATCTCTGTGACTGTTATCTTCTTGGCACCCTCTACTAAGCCTCCACCAAACAGTGCCTTCCATATTAGTGTGAAGAAACCCTTGCATATACTATAGACAAAAATCAGGATGCCCATCAAAACAGTGTAGACGAATGTAACCAGGCCGATAATCATGTCCTTTACCGTCATTTTTCGAAGTTTGCGGTATCGACGCCGGAGGTTACGGAAGGTGAACATGTTAAAGAAGTTAACCACGCTCTTCAGAAACTCTGCAAAGGCAGAAGCCGACTCCGGAGCTTCACCCTCACCATTTCCTTCATCTCCTTCTCCGGACTCTCCTTCATCTCCTCCGCCTTCCTCTTCTTCATCATCATCTTCTTCTTCTGCACCATCTCCCTCTGGCTCAGAGATAGATGCAGCAATGTTCATCTCAAAAATGGTGTCCTCACAGAAGTTCACAAACATCTCCATTTTCTCACTCTCGCCACCCTCGTTGACCACATCAAAGATGAACTGCCGCTTGGACTCTCTGACTTGAGGCATCTCCCACTGATTGCGGTTCTCCTCACTGATTTCAAAGTAAATGCGTTCGATCTTCCTGCTGGCTCCCATGATCTCGATACGGCCAAGGAAAGGGCGGAAATAGTTGAGCACGCTCTCTGCTTGTTCCAGGAAGTTCTGAAGGCGAGTGTCATGGGGTACATGCTCTGACAGGTTTGTGAGCAGAACAGCAATATTGAAACCTATGTCTTTTGCTGGCTCCTGGAAACGATCAGCAAACTCCTCAAAGTTGATCATTTCATTCTCATCAGCCTCTGAGCACGAGAGGAGGAACTGGATTTCAGAGGGAGAGTATTGCTTCTGACTGTCCATGGCCTTGGAGAAGTCCTTCTTTGAAATAAGACCACGTGGATCAGTCACATAATCACGGAACGCATCGGATGCCACTATATCCTTGAGCTTGAGGAACATGTCGAAGAACTTAAGGATCATCTCCACATTGCTGGAGGACTCCACCAACATGTCAACCATTTGCCTGGCAATGGTACCATTCACCACATTGCCTGATAGCAGTACAAGCAGAGATGAGATAAGGACAATATAGAATGTATCTGACAGAAAGAAGCAGACATGATCTGATAGTGAGGAGTATCTTACCTTCAAGCAGTGACAGAAGCATCACTACCATGTCCTTCTGCAGATCTAAAAGCTCCTTCAAGAGACCAATTTGACTGGAGTCCTTCGATGGAGCCAAAACGTATATACCAGAACACAAAGCGGAGAGACAAGCTTTTTAAAGTGTATTGACTAAAAAAAAGCCATTTTTTGTATACATTACAGTTTAAACTGAACATAATTTGCTTTTTTTTTTAAAACGTAAGTGAAAGGCACTACCTCAGAGTGTGATCTACTCCAAAAATGATCCTGGGAGTGCATTTTTGAATAAAGAATATGCATTTTTATATAATAAATTGTACACTGAATGTGATAGGACGTGAGACAGAAACACAGGAAAGGGGAGGGAAGAAAATGGCTCTTCTAACAGCCTTAATTTGAAAAAGAGACTGCAGGATGGAAGACAGCCATATTTGCAGACGCTAATCTTATCACTCCTGAAGGCCTGCACCAGCTGATATGGCAAACTTCAAATGTTTATCATAGGTCATAGTGGCTGTCAGGCTGGTGGAGATCTAGAGGAAAAGGATGTCATGCAAGCCAGCAAAAACTGCTTGCGAAATCAGAGTTGTACCGTTTTAAACAGCTTATCATCTACAGCAAATGAAACAGCTAAATGAAGAGAGACGATACAACACGTTAAGGCTTTAAGGAGTAAAGTGAAATGAATCCCTCAAAGAAGAAATAATTAATTCAATCACAATACATTCGGAGACACTTACCTTACAAAGTGTAATTACAGTTTGGTGTGTAATAATCATCGAGGTCTAAATCTAGCACAACTAAGTGAATAACTGTAACTTTGGCTTCTTTAACAGTTGAGACCTAAAATCGACATCATTACAATAAATGCAAAGACAAAATATGAAGTGCTGCAGAGAAAATACACAAAGAGGCACATGTAGATGGTGCAGGCTATTAAGCAACTTATTAAAGAAAGTATTAAGCATGAGGGCTTTAAAAAAGCATGAGGGGCTTTAAATGAAATGGATTTGGTGTGAAAACACAGATTCTTACGCCGTTTCGCTGTCCAGGATCGGGGTGCATCTAACAGAGTTACACATGAAAATAAAACTGTTTTACATTAACATTTTTACTTTGTTTTTGGATTGTCTCAGCATGAATACTGTCTAATGTTTTGTCAGGCAACAGCCTCCATTTCAATAACCAAGACAGCATATATTGTTCTGGAAGTTTTTTTGGCATAGAACTTCAGAACAAAACTTTTTTT